AGCGGGGGGGGGGTCTGCGGGACTGAGGAGGAGGAGGAGGCTGGTGGAGGGAGGGAGCGAGGGGGCGGGGCGCTGGCTTCTGGTGGGGAGCCCCCTGGCGAAGGTAGCCGGGGAGGGAACAGCTGCTCCGGCCTGACCCCTGACCCCCATTCCGCAGGGGAGCACCTGCGCATCTGCCCCCAGGACTACACGTGCTGCGCCAGCCGGACCGAGGAGCAGCTCAGCCAGCGCAGCGGCGCCGACCTCCGGGCGCTCGTGGCCGAGGCGGCCGCCTTCCTGCTCAGCACCCTCAGCTCCCGCCAGCACCGCTTCCAGGGTCCCCCCCGCCGCTTCTTTTTAAACGGGCGGGGGCGGGGGGGGATTGAAATCTCGTCGGGACCGCTTCTTTTCCCCGCAAGCTGAAGTTGGGACAACACAAAACGCCTGCTGTGTAACTTAGCAGAGGAAAGCCTACTTTTCAAAAATTTAGATGTCTTTGTTTTCTATAAGAAAAACCGCAGGTATGCCTAATACTGGCCAAAGTCGCTGCCGGCTCTTTATAGCTTTTGCCCTCTGGAAAGTACGAAAAGTAAAAGTTGAAGGCACAAAACAAATCCTGCAGTAAACAAAACAAAGCTTATTACAGAAATAAGAACTCTCTTCCAGTCATAATAAGGAGGAGTCCAGGCATGTTTGAGTATTAACCTAAACTTTATAGCAGTGAAAATACTGAAGTCTTTGATCACCTATTAAATAGATTGTAGCATATTAATTGTTGCCAAAGTTATTTACATTGAAGCAAACACTGTTGCAGTATCCGAAGAAGTGAGCGGTGACTCACAAAAGCTCATACTCTGCCACAAATGTTGTTCATCTTTAAGGTTCTCCTGGACACTTGCTTTTTTCTTCTACTACAGACAGACTACCCATCTTCATATATCTCAGCAGAAGACCTTTCCCTCCCTATTGTTCCCAAAAGTCATTAGATTTTTCCCCCCATGTTATACATTTGGAATGACTGAGATGCTTTGTTGTTACTCAAAAACGGAAAATATTTCCAGGGAGCTTTTTCTCCAGTGGTCCCTAGTAGTTCTCAGTTTTGCCACTGGAACAATTTAAAAATAGTCAGACTTTCTTATGCTATATATTTAGAGTTTGAAAAATCTGGCTCTAAGAAGCCTTTTACTCCTTCTAAAATTGAAAACATTTCATAGGCCCCAGTCACATGGCAAAGTACTTTCAAGGTACTAGTGAACGTTTGCCACTGGCTGCCTCCAGACGTCCGTGGTGTGATTGCGCCGGCCCGTGGCATTCCCCCCCCCGTCCCTCGTTTACCTGCCGGTGCCGAGGGAAAGACCGGTGGTGTGCCGCTGGCGCGTCTGATCGTGTAATCGCGGATCAAACTGCGCCGGGGCAATTAGCCACGCCTCCCCCCCCCCGCAATATCCAGTGGCCCATGTGACTGGGGTCATAGGTAGTTTTTTTCAGTGCTCCCCAGAATTTTCCAATGTTTTTTCTGGGTCTTTTTTCAAGTCCCTGGAAAAATTATTTGCTGGCTTTTCTGGGGGCTTCTCATCTCTGGTGGGAGGGAAAGGCAAGGCATGTGTGCCTGTTGCTGGTTGGTCCTTGACACAGGGCCCCTCCCTCCCTCCCTCCCTCCTTCCTGCAGATTTCTTCCGGGAGCTCCTGGCGGGGGCTGAGCGCTCGCTGCAGAACATGTTCACCCGTTCCTACGGGCACCTTTACGCCCAGCACGCCCGCCTCTTCCAGGGCCTCTTTGTGGAGCTCCGACGCCACCTGCAGGGGGCTCAGCCTGGCTTGGACGAGGCCTTGGGCGACTTCTGGGCCCGACTGCTGGAACGGATGGTGCCCCTCCTCAACCCCCAGTACAGCTTCCCAGCAGGGTACCTGGAGTGTGTGGGGCGCCAGGCGGATGGACTGCGGGCCTTTGGCGACAGCCCTCGCCAGCTCCGCATGCAGGTGAGCCCCCCCCCCCGTTCCCGGCCCCCCCCCCGGGCCCCCCCCCTCCCCTGCTCCCTTGATTGCTTTGGAGGATGTTTCTCCCCCTGGCATGGGGGCTCCCCTCAGCTCAGTTGCTTTGCTGTCCTATGTGGCAGTGCCCCTTCCCAACCCCCTGTGCTGCCCCACATGTGGGGGGCACCTTGCCTGGTCCTTTCCCTCTCTTGCAGCCTGCCTTGGGTTAATCCATGAAGCCTTCTGTGCACCAGCAAACCACAAACAGGCCTCTGCTGCAGTTTCTGGATGGTCTGAGGCCCTGTCGGTGACAGGAAAACCCTTGCCCACAGCCCAGGTCTTGTGCTCCACCCGCCTTCTGTGGTTCCTCTCCGGGAGGTGCCGGCGGGGCTCCCACTGCTCTGACCCCACCACCACCCCTTGCTCCTCTCCAGGTGACCCGGGCGTTCATTGCTGCTCGCGCCTTGGTGCAGGGCCTGGCGACTGGACGAGAAGTTGTTGCCCAGGCAGTCCAGGTGAGCGAGAGAACCGGCTGTGGGGCTCGGGACAAAGTCTCGCTCCTCCTGGCCTCGCCTGGGCTGTGCGGGTGGAAGGGGGAGTGCAGAAGTGTCTCAGGCCTTGTTTCCTGCAGGGCTGCTCTTGTGGCTCCACACGTGTTGACGCCCTGCCACCCCCACCCCCCTGTTAGTGGGCAAAGGGCCCAATCCCTTTAACCCACTGGATTCCCTTGCCTTCTTGAGGGTCTGTCGTGCTGAGACGCAGGACACAGTTGTCTCCCTCTGCTCTCCCTTTCTGTCTGCCTGCTGGGATGGAGGAAGGAAGTGCTCAGTCTGTGTCCCTCCCCCCAGCTGTCTCCCACGAGGGAATGTCGCCGGGCACACATGCGCCTCTCCTACTGCCCGCTGTGCCGTGGTACCCCCACCCTCAAGCCCTGCAGTGGCTTCTGCCTCAACGTCATGAAGGGCTGCCTGGCTAGCACCACCGAGATGGACCCCGAGTGGGAACGCTACCTTGGTGAGATGTGGGGGATGGGGGGGTTGGTGGAGTTGGGGGCCTGGTGAGCCCCTCCCAAGGGGTGGGAGGGGACCTTATCCCGGGGGAGACCTTTCCCTCCCAGCATTTCTGGTTTGGAGGGGCAGCAGAGGTCATTTCAGGGGGGAACGTGGGGGATCGCAGTTCCCCCGGGTGAGGTATGGGGGGCGGGGCACATGACGAAGC